ATTTGTTGTCTTTTGTTTTCTTAATCTTAACCTTTGTTATTAGAACAAGGTGGAATCGCAAAGAGGTTTAACTTTGATTTTGTTGGTGGAGAAGGGAAGACATTGTAAGATATTGATTCTGAGAAATCTCTGTTCAATCGAATAGCACTCCTAAGAGGCAGTCTACAGGAATGGGGAAAAAATTCTACCAGTTGAACATCTGACAGGAAAGCGTTTGTCATTTCCTTATGGTGAAAATTCTCATGATTCATTTTTGTAAATTTTTTTAATGAACACTACAGTTGACATCTGTAGTTGCTCAGAACACAAAAATTTAGTATGCATTGACAGACTTTTCGCATCCCTGCCAGCCACCATTTTCTCAGCCACTCATAACCACTACTATACTCTTAAGTTCTAAGAGATCAATGTTCTAGATACCACAGAGGAAACATACCGTGCTGAACATATCTTTAACTGTGCTTATTTTCACTTGTGGTCATAGTCGCTTATGTGGTGTCAAGAAAGAATTAAATTCTTTCTATTCCTACACAGTATTTCAGTGATTATATACCTTATTTTCTTTATCTTTTTTGTTTCCATATTTTAGCAACTATAAATATTGTCACAATGGATATGAGATGCAGTTGTTTTTTGATGTACCAATTTCATAAAGACACTTAAGACATTTTGAAGATTACTGGAAGAAGAGATCACCATGTCTGCTAATATGAATTAATTGCTAATCCTGCCCACTCTTAGGGAAGTAACAAAAGTATTTCCAAAGCATTAAAGTTCTAGATAACTAACAACAAATTTTTGGTGACCTAATATGGACAATGGAATTATATATTTCTACATTCCTTAATATATCTTTAAAATAAAATGTTTTATTTAATAACAGGATTAAATTATAATTTTAATTATCATATTGCTATGTAGTATATTTTTCTTTCAATTGTAAGGTATCTTGCATTGAAAGAAGCAAGTCAGTGTGTGTGTGTGTGTGTGTGTGTGTGTGTGTGTGTGTGTTTGTTTTACTGCACATACTAATTGTGGTTGTCTTATTCCCAAGATTGTTAGAATCCTATGCTGAGGCAGAGTAAATTAAACTATAAAGAAACTGTTTTAGAAGTTCTAGTCTTTTATGTCCCATTTTATTTCTTTTTCTGAGATTAGAAGCCATGAAAAACCATTAACTAAATATATTTATTCATTAGCAATAGCAAATAGTGCATCCTAATCTGGTCATTCATTCTCAATTTTTTTAACTAGAATATTTCAACAAGAGAAACTTCCTTTCAGAAGCTATTTTATTTAGCGGAAGTAGTACATAAAGAAAATGCAATGTGCATGTGTTATTATATTCAGTGTATACAACAGTTTTAAATATAATCCTTTTCATTGTTCTGCAAAATACTCACTAGATATGTTGTTTAAAAAGGCATAAATTTAAATACACATGATATATTTCAATTTATTCTTATGTATGGTAAGATTAGTTGTTTTGCCAAAGGGAAACTATGCAAATTAACGTTTCTTTTTTTTCTTATTACCCTAGTAGACTATGGAATCTTCTCTGTGCTGTGACATTAGTTCTATGATAAACCAGCAATAGGTTTGACAAAAAAAAATTGAATGAATGAATGAATGAACAATTGAACAAACAAACAAATAAATGAATCTAAGTCTGATAACTCAGACTCTTATGCCAGATGCTTGGGATGCTGCATCAGAAATGAGACAAGTTTAAGGTCTTTCTTTCCTATACAGTATGCTCAAAGCCAATCTAGATAACTTAAACCATCTCTCAAAATTAAAACAAAAAATAAGTGAAAGAATACATGGAGTATATCAATCCATCAGTAGAAACTTATAAGTTAGGAAAATTCTAGCATGTAGAAAAACAATAATTTTTCCTGCTAGAGAATCATTCTGAGGTAGTAAAAAAGATAATTTTTCATTATTATTGGAAATGCACTTTAAATTGACAAAGGAGTGCAATGACACATGTGTCAGATGACCTAGTTTTGCAGGGTAATGTAGGGATTTGTCATGTGGAGTAACAGAAAGCAACCAATGGAGATGTACAATTATATTCATAACCAGAAATCCTAATAGTTTTCCATTAAGAGAGGAAATTATTGAAAATTAAACAGTCTTACTAATGTCCTCCCCCAACTCTAAAATGTAGATACATCCATTAGATATGAATTCTGTTTAGTGGAAAACTTAGTTACTAGTCATGGAAAGAAGATCTATTAAATCATGCAGCATCAAGCATGAAGGCCAACTCCATAATGCCCAATAAGAAAAACAGGCTCCAAAGTGTAGACATTATGTGATAGCTACATTTACATCCAGGAAATGTTAAAATTGTTGAGTCTTAAACCAAATAATAGGTGCTACAGGACAGAATGGGAAAGTGATTCATTATATAGGGTCACAAGGAATATTGAGAGAACAATAAAAATATTCTCTACCTTAATTGTAGCCATGATACATTGGTTGTGAGGTGAGTCATCACAATTCATATAAATGAGCATCATAGAAAAATATATTTAATAAAAATAAAATGTAATTCCATACATATAATTGAAAAAAGTAATGGGAGTTTTGAGCATATTGTTTGATTGTTTCGATATACAATGTGAGAGTGGGTAAACAAGTACATCTAAAACAAAGTAGCAATAAATTACCAATCAATAAATTTAGGGAGCAACAATATGATGGCTGAATTTTCACTTTAAATATTATTGTGAGCTGGGAGGCCAGCCTGCAGGCAGTATGAAGGTATGCAAATAAAGTCTATGAATGTGGCTATGACTTAGGAAGAATTCTTATCTACCTGAGGGGGAAAATAAGGAAAAACATATGCTTTCTGATAGTTACTTCCTCTTTTGCTTCATCGTGTTTAAAATTCCTCTTTGAAAATCTCTCTTGTTCCTCTCCATAGCTCTTCATGGCTGCCTTTCCTCACAGCCAAACTGGACAATTATATGTTATATTTCCAGAACCCAACCCATTCTCAGAACACAAGATACATCACCATAGTTTGTCTCAGTCTAGGAAGGTAACATTGACCAGCCAGTGAAAATGCTTGGCCATGCACATAGCTCTAAGTTGGTGAGGGTTCCCAGTAAGAAAATGACATTGGAATTCAACACTTAACATTAACAGTTAATTAGCTGGGCCTTGAGTGGTAGGGAGTATGTGTGGGAATTCCATTATGTTTATGTCTGTCAAAGTAGCCTCAAGCCTGACCTAGAATCAGCATATTTAGACTCTGATGGGAACATTGCAAAGACTTCTCAGTTGAACTCTATCTGCCTATTTTATTTCCTTTTGCTTTTCTTTAGTTACATTTTTGATTTATATCACTACATTTCTACCTTCTGTTTCCTGTCTTCAAACCCTCCTCTGTAGCCTTATTTGCTCTCCATCAAATTCAGGTTCTCGTTTTTTTAATGCTTCCATGCCTATATTTATATGCTTATGATATATATGTATGTTTATATACACTCATATTCCTAAATATCACCTACTGAAACTATATGATATTGTTCATATGAATGTTTTCATGCCTGACCATTTGATATTGGAAACCCAATGAACAGTGTGTTCCTCCCTGGGGAAGACAGTCTCTCCCACTCTCAGAATCCCTTAGTTGCCTAGGGTTCTTTGTGTAAGGTTGAAGCCTAGTGAGCTTTCTCATGTCCAATTCAGCATGTTAATTGGTGTTGCCCATGTTCAGCATATGGTCAGGCAAAAATGTTGAACCTTTATAGGTGAACCTTCTGACATTACTAGATAACACAATTTCATATTATAGTCTCTGGTCCTCTGCCTTTTATAATCTCCCTGTCCCCCTTTCTGCACTATTCCTCTGGCCTGGGGTACAGGAATTGTTTTGTAGAGATATCCATTGTGTTCCATTGCTCTGTACTAGCTTGCTTGTGGTTTTCTGTGATAGTCTGCAACTATTACAAATAGAAATTTAGTTGTGGTTCTCTGTAAAGGTCTCCAACACTTTCAAAGAGAAATTTATTTGATTTATAAGGGCATAAAGGCAAGTGTTGAGATATTTTTAGGTATTATGCTGGTTTAGTAATTGCAGTTATAGGTTCTTCAGCATCCATGATTTCAATATCACTGACCAACTGACTAGGTTTTTCAGTACCTGACATGATTTCAGCCTTATTGAGCAGGACTTAAATCCAATTAGAGAGAGATTGGTTAGCACCACCTATGTGTAGGACATAAGCTTTACGACTTCCAACTAGTGTTTGTAGTTATCCCATTGATGATGATTTCAATACAAATAGATTTTAAGCAGTTTCCATTTCATTTTGCTCTTTGCTACTATGTCTTTACTTTTCTTGTTTATAAAACTCTTGGCTCAGTTCCTTCCCTCATCTTTCAGCGGAAGTTTGTCTTGGGAGAGATTGTTTTGGTGGCTTGTTTTCTCTTACCAGATTGGTTACAGAAAAAGATTCAAAGTTTTAAATTGTCTTATATTTGTGACTTCAATCAATAATTGGTATACTAACTAGTACTTGGGTATCCTATGCTTGGAAGGCAATGGTTTATTCAAAAAACCATCTTCATTTTTTGCTAAACTTTATGTAAGAATTTAAGAATATAAGAAACAACAATGCACAGAGTATATTTCTTCAATATACTATGCTTGACATTAGAGAATGAACAATGTGGGCTATTTCATTAAATTGAAAAGTCTATGGTATTAAAAATGACCCTGTTATTATTATTCAATTATTATTGCCACTTGGGATTATTAAACCAAATATATGTGAAATATTCTTGTATTAGTTCATGACCATTTTATATTTCTTATCTTAAAGAATTATAGTAGGCCAATATATGTAATTTAAAAAAACAATGCTTTTAAAGCTATTATGATGAAGAAACACTAAGAACATTTGATAGCAATGATGTACCTAATGTTGATATATTTTTACATCATTTAGAAACTCATTTATGTTTTATCTATTTAATTCTAGTTGTTTTGCTTGATACAACTACTGTGATGGGAGAACTAGGATGGAAAACATATCCATTAAATGGGGTAAGTTTAAATATCATTACAGTTTTCAAGTTACCACTCATCTTGTGTTTGTAGGATTTTTCTATGAAAGTTAAAGCAACCACAGATTTGTGTGATTTTTAAATATACCCTAAGTCATACAGAAAAGGCTAAAGTCTAATTGAATGAGAAATAAATAGGAACACTGTATAAATACTGTTGTTTTCATTTAAGTTAATAATTGTTTTTTAATATTGCACTTGAAGCATAGTCATTAGATACGTATACACATAATAATTTCCTTAAACAAATTTACATGTAATTGTATAATTCCATGATGTTTAGTCCTATATACAAGTTAAATATGGTAATTTAAAAGGGGTCTGTGCATACACAAAATCTATTATAATTACACTGAATAAATACTAGAACTATACATGTTGATACAAAAAATGCTAGTTACCACAGAAGTCTTTTGGAACTTGGTGAGGTGATACATTATATCTACCTATTTATAATCTTAAAAGTTTCTTCTAAAACCTTATTCACATGTGAAATATACAAAATTATATCAATTCTTAGGTATTGGTATTTTAGCTGTGGATATTAATTTTTATATATTTCAGTTTGTTGTATATAATATCTACATTCTAGTGTTTTCTATATCATTTTTATATTATGTTAAGTGAAAAGGTTGGTTTGCACATTTTTTACTGTGATTCTTTTAGTATTAAAACATAAAATTAGGTGATATATTCAGCTAAATATTTTCAAGAGTTTAATTACTTTTCTTTTTCTTCTACAAATGTTCTCATTCATCAGTTCTCTTCTGATATTGTTTTACATTTGTTCCATTATTGTAACTTCAAATATGAATCAAATAGGAAAAATTTACCTTGAAATGTATTTGTTTTTATAATCTTTCACATAAGTTGACAATTGTATCAAATACTATTCATTAAATAAGTGTTCTTGAAACTTACTTAGTTCAAAATAAAGTATTCTATTTTTAATTGACTATATGCTTATCATATGTTTTGCAATCAACCTATAATTTCTTAAAGTTTTCATTTTATTCTGAGAATTGTCACCACAAATTTCTGAGAAAATATATTTTATACACTATAATATAAACTTCATTATTTTACATTCATAAGGTTCATTAATGAACATATTATTTAGTTTATTGAGTTAGATTTCTTACTAATAATATAGAATTCACTGTATAAGCTGAAAATTATGATACATAATTTCATAAAAATATTTCCATGAAATATTAATTTATACTTGACATTGTTAATGCTATTTCAAGGAGTCTAGTTTTCCAAATTATCTAATATATAGTTTGTAAGAAAGACAGTGGTGGAATTCGGTTTAAGGCTTAAAGCCTGAGAATCCAAGGAGATAATGTCTCACTCTCCAGTCTAACTGCTAAATACAAAGCCTGAGGAAGTATTCAGCTGTGTAAGCTTTCAAGTCAAAAGGTCCCATGGACCACAGTAACTGAGGATAAAGGAAGACCGACAAACCATCTGAGCTCATTCTAGACAGTGAATTCATCCTTCTAGTTTTGTGCTTTGTGGAGCTCCCACTTTCATCAAGGAGAGCCGTTTTGCTCTTTCTGTTCATTCAAATATAAATCCCTCTTCAAAATATCCACATATACACAGGCAGAAATGTTTTCCCACTCTTTAGTATCTCAGTCAAACTGAATCCAAATTAAACAAAAATTAAACAAGTTAGTTAGAAGAATAAGAACTTGTGTATTCATACCTAAATAATAGCTATAGGTGTGCCTAGTAGCTACTTCTGTTTATATTTATAGTTATAAATTCTGACTAATCTGGGTAAATGGGCATGTTGTCTGTCAATAACCCAAGTATTGTGTATTTTTTGTATAATTATTTAGCACAGAATGACAACTGAATATGTTAGAACAGATAACAAATCATACTAATAGTTTTGTTAATATGCTGTGACATCTACATTTCTACAATAACTTATCAGAAGCCCAAGACCTTATTATCACATTCTGTACCATTTTCTCATGCAATGTTTTCTCTTGATAGCTATTATTTTATTTTTTATTTAGAAGCAATCATAATTTACATATCAATCTCTCCTTCCCATCATCTCATACCACCTACTGAGCCCCCAACCCACCCCCACTCAGTAAGGATAGTAAGCCCTTCTATGGGGGATTATCAAAGTCTGTCACATCATTTGGGGAAGGGCCTAGGGCCTCCTCTGTATATCTGGGCTGAAATAGTATCCCTCCATAGGGAATGAACTCCCAAATCCATTTGTGCTCAAGGGATAAATACTGGTTCCACTGTTAGAGGTCCCATAAACTGCCTAGGCCTCCTAACTGGCATCCACATTCAGAGGGCTTGGTTCAGTCCAATGCTGGTTCCCCAGCTTTATGTCTGGGGTACCTGTGCTCTCAATAGTTCAGGTTAGCTGTTTCTGTTAGTTTCTCCAGCAAGGTCTTTGCTTTTTTGCTCATCCCTCCTCCCTCTCTACAAGTGAATGGAGGAGGGGGAAGAAGAATATAAGGTCAGGAAGACTGAGTCAGGGGAGAAATAGAGGAGAGGAAGAAAAGAGATACCTTAATAGAAGGAGCCAGTATAGATTTAAAGAGAAATTTTGCACTAGGGAAAAGTTCAGAGATCCATAAAGAAGACCCCCTAAGAATCTAGGCAGTAGTGGAGAGGCTGACTTTAATGTCCTTCCCTATAATGAGATTGATGACTACTCTAATTTCCATCCTAGAGCCTTCATCCAGTAGTTGACAGAAGCAGAACCAGGCACCTACAGTTAAGCACAAAATAAGAACTTTATTGATATTTTTTTCTTTAAAAGTGAATGTGATATGTAAAATAACAAAAATAAATTTAAAAAAAGTGAATGTGAAATTCACTATTTTCCAAGCTGCTATTTAAAGAAGTTTATTTGAAAAACTATGTCATATATGAAGGTGTTCTAATTTTCTACCATCTTAATTTCAGTTTTATTATTTAACAATAAAAATATTTGCATTTGGTTTAGTGAATAAGTATATTAATTATATGAATAAATATTTCATTAATTTTCATGTTCCAGTGACTTTTTTCTGCATCATGATGGTGGTAGTGGTGGTGGTGGTGGTGGTGGTGGTGGTGGTGTGTGTGTGTGTGTGTGTGTGTGTGTGTGTGTATCATGGTTAATGGCGAACATATGAACAATAGGCAGATACTGCTATCTCATACTACTATATAAATTTCAAGGGTCATACAGTCCTAGGCTCAGTAACAAGCCCCCTTACTAGCTGAGACATATCAATGGCCCTCATATGATACTTTGTAATCATGAATTTTAATCTCTATACAAAAAAAGAAGCAATAATAGTATTAAATAACTTAGATTATTATGGGGATAATATATTTCAGGAATGTATGAAACTCAAAAAGCTTATCATTATAATTACCATGGTAATAACTCAATATTGTGAATATGTATTCTTAGAACACTTCATATTATATGGATTTCGTGTTTTCTATATCTGGAATCACCTTTCTACCATAAGCCAACTTTTTCATTTATCTCTAAAAGCAATACGTAATCATTGCATTACTATATTAATTAAACAAATAACATGGACTTAAAAGTGAGCATTTGCTTAAATCTAAGTGAAATGTAAAGTATGTATTCCTGCATTCAACATGAAATACTTGAAAAGTAGCATAGCATGCTGATTATTAGATTTACAAGTTGTGCTTGAAAAAAAGGAATGTGAGAACTCATTCCTTTACCTCAAAGCTAATAACACCTCTGGTCTCTAAGTTGTACCTAGTTAATTGAGCATATTGTCTGTATAGTACATCAAATATATGTATGTATTATGTATGTATGTATGTATCTTAAAATCAAAATAGACATGACATACTTTGGTAATAACAGTCCCCTAAAATATGAACATAAGTCTAGAGGATAGTTATTCAAATCATTGTATCTTGAATGCAATTTCTTTTTAGGAAAGAAAATATCATTGTATTTGTTACCTCTTTAATTTTTTTTGAGTTTCAAAATTTTATATTATATCTTGTACTGCTCATTTTTTATGTACTCTTCTTTATCCTTTCCCTTTTCATATCCCTAGGCCATCATCTTCTGGTTCTTGTTCTATTTGTTGTTGTTGTTATCCTTCTTCTTCTTCTCCTCCTCCTCCTACATCTTCTCCTTCTTCTTCTTCCTCTTCTTCTCTTTTGATTCTTTATGGATTCCACATAATGCATTCTGATCCCACTTATCTGCCAATCTCCTCACATCCACCACTGCCCTTGCAACCTCCTTCTCAAATCAAAACCCCATTTAAAAAAAAGTCAAAACCCAAACAAAACAAGAAAAGGGGAATAATCTTGTCTTGGAAGCTGTAATGTAGCCTGTTGAGACCCACAGTTTACCCTTTGGTCTATTCATCTTTACATGCAAGTGTTCATTGCTTTGATCACTGGCGTGTCTCTCACTGGGGCTCCTTTTAGATACCCTGTTGTTGCCTGTGTCATGGAGATCTTCTGTCAGCTTGTCTCCTTTGCATGCTGCAATAGTTCATAGATTTGGTGAATGTTTGGGTGGGCCAATTCATAGCCTTGATTCATGGCCTCAGTTGTAGTTGGGTTGGCTAACCCCCCAGTTGTCCCTCACTGTCACTACCAAGGCAAACTTCTTTATTTGCATGAAAATGCATTCTAAAAGAAAGGCTAATGCCATATTACAGCTCAATGTGTTTTTTGAGCACCACGTTAAACATACAAGCGTCTCATATATTTTTTAAAACTGGTAGAACACAGTGTTTATATGTGGGTGTTTGCTTCTGTTTCCAACAGGTACTAGATGACGGCTCCATGATGGTGGATAAGTTAGTTGTTGTTTGTAGGCATCTTAATTCCCTTGCTCACTACTTTCAAGAGTCCCAATTGAGCTATGATTGCCTTTATATCCCTGTCTCTTTTGGGCAAGAGGAAATCAGGACAGCAATGTATATTAGATAAGGTTGTATTTTT